AACTTTAATATAGAAAAACACATTTTCATAATTAAAACGAACAGACATTGTGCGTGAAACAAAAAACCTGCTTCAGTCCACTTTTCTCCAGCAGCCTGCTGCCAAGCCTATAATCAGCTGTGTTGCTGACTTTGCCATGATATTTTGTCATTTGTATTATGATTAAACTAATCAGAAGTTGTCCCCAAACACTTACCATGAAAATTAAACTCTGGTGAATTTGAGTTGTTAATGTCAGAGTAATAGCAAAATGCTGCTGGCTGGTGACGTACCTATGTGTTTATTGGAATCTTGATGTGATTCACATGCTATTTAACAAGTGTTGATTTTTAATTGATGTAGAATTTGTTAAAGATTCTCTTCATTATCAAAATCACATTTATTTTACAAATATCACTTTATGCATTTAACATGCACAAGAGGTTTACAGCTTTTACAAATTTTCTCCTGTTTCTTGTTGTACTTTTTTTTGCAAGACTTGAGTAAATACAGAAAGCAGTTGTGAAATGATGGTTTCAGTGAAGCTAAATGAAACCTGCTTCCCCACAGAATGAAAGTAATTTAAATGGAATTTGAACCTAAAATCTGATATTCTTCTGATCTTTTTTTTAAGGCCAATCAGTGTTACTGTGTTTAATTTATGTTTTGATCAGCTTTATTCCCAAAATCAGCTGATTTATGTCTTGCATTATACCTGCAATTGTTCTTGGCTTTGATTTTAAAATGCTAAAACTCTTCATTTTTTTTCAGCAGCAAAAGAGTTTGTTAAACTTGCATATTTTGAGCTGTAATAATTACTTTTAGTAGAGTAAAGAGGGAAATGAAGCATTATGTCAGTTTTAGTAGTTGTCACAGGGTCCCTTTGTGTTTGTTTTGGAGAAGTGAGTAGAGACTTTGGCAGTTGAACCAGACTCGTCCTCAACCTTGTTAGACGTAATAATCAAACGTAGCTGGTATTTCCCTCTTGGGTAGAACTGAACATGCAATTTCTTTCTGATAAACTCATTTACTAATAAAAGGTATTTCTACTATTTTTGTGTTAAATGAATAATTTTTTATTTATTTCTTGCATCCTAAACACAGGAAAATAGTGAATGTTTTTGCTTTGTTGCTTGGCAAAGAAAACTTTATGTTAAACTGGTAACATAGAGTCCATCCATTTTCTAACACCCTTGTCTCTACTGGGGTCGGGAGGGACAATACCTTTTTCCAGCTAACTTTCCAGCGGTGGAAGGGGATACTAGCATACAGTCATATTCAATAAATTAGAATATATGTCCGGATAACTCTCGTTTGTCAATCAGATCAAAATGCCTTTTAAAAATGGCAGCCTTTAAGCAGCTGTTAAGCCTGCTTTTCTCTTTTCTTTTAGCCCACATTTCTGTTTTTAAAAATAGTCTTTTGATTAGTCTAATGTAAAATTCTAATTTTAAATTTCCACTTACAGTTCCCATAAACTGTAAGTGGAAAATCATCATAATTAACAGAAATTAAGGTGTTCAAACCTCCATCTGTGGGTAATCAATCTGTATAATGGGTTGAACTTAGTGGTAAACACCTAATAATAAAACTGATTTACAGACTCATTCAATAAGAAAATTATTTAAAAAGCTAATTTTAAACCTTCCATCCATTTATATTTCATCCAGCAATTCATTGTTGTCTAATATGAAAGTCCCTGGTTCTAATAATCTAAAATGCTTTGTTCTGTTTTGCACAGTGTTTATCAGATTTCAATAAAAATATCTCTCAATTGACGTACAATCCAGTAGCTTACACTGCATCTTTTCAGGGTTGTTTTTTAACTTTCTTGTAGAAGCACTTTGAATTGTCTTTGGCTGAAAAGTGCTATATAAATAAAGTTGCCTTGCCTTGTCTTTTTCTCTGACAACGTCCACAGCCTACAACATAAGTTTGAAAACCATGAACATCAAAATATGTTGTATTTACGTAAGCTAAGCTTGTGGTAGAAATGTAATTATCATCAAATTGTATTTAATGCTTAGATATTGGATTGAATGTGAATTATTGTCATGACTGAAATTATTTGGATGTGATTGGATAAACAAAACTTATTGAAATATTCAGAAGGTTAAATCTTAGCACTATAGTGTTTTATTGAACCAACACCATAAAGGCTTGTAAATTCTTTAGTCACATAGATGCAGTGTCATTAAGAAGAGGTTCAGACTAAGTCCCTGAATTTACATGTTGGATTGTCCTCAATACACACTCTGAATGATTAACTTAATTTCATAAGTTTATGACATGTTTCTGGAAAGCTGTGACCTTTGAGTTGTTATTCCAGATGACAAAAAAAAAAAACAAAAACAAAAAAAAACATCTGACTATTATAATTAACATTTTATTGGTATGATTTTACTTCAGGGGCTTAAAGCTTTTTCTACTTTGTTGTGCCATGTTTTTTTTTTCTTTAAATCCCCACATTAAGAAATTCTGTGGAAAAGCCCACGCTGGTGATTCAGATGGAACAGGTTTCTGCATGTCATGGCGTTCAGGCAGTTGGAATAAAAGGTTGAACCACACAGATTCAGAGTGAGTGTGAAAGGATGTGGAGCTGCCTTGTCAGCCTAAACAGTGTAAGAGGTTAATTTTTAGCATTTCCACCCTGAGTTGTTAAATGTATTACAATTTCCTGTTCAAAAAGCTGTTTATAAAATGTGAAACTGCTGCCTTGCTGCATGTAAATGACAAAATTTCTGTTTGAACATACCCTACAAAATATTTTAAGGGGTCACAGCAAAAGGTCAGTGTCATTGTTCCCCAGCTACATTGGGGTTGCTTCCTCAGCACTTTGAAATACTGATAACTTTGTAGGCTTGTTGTTTTTTTTGTTTTTAATTTATTATCATTGCCATTCTGCCCTGCGAAGTGAGAAATAGTTTTTAATTACACATTTCTTTGTTCTGAATTCTGCTTAGATATCTGCTTTCAGGCTATGGTTCTGTCCATCAGAAAACATAACCAAATTTCAAATTTTTAGGTTCTTTTCACTTAATTAATCAGAAAGTGATCCAATTAATTACAGACATGGATAAACAAACCACTGAGAGAGGATTAGAGAGGAGGCCTTCAGGTAGCAAGATGTATCTGTAGGAACTTCTCTTGAAAATGAAAAAAAATATATATATATATATATTCAGTTCATATAAATAGAACAAAACTGTGCCTCACATTACATATTGAACAAAATGTTGAAATTCTGGGCATCACTCTTGTTATAAAGATAGTTGGAATTAAAAAATATGTTTGTTTTGGTTAATTTAGTCTGTTTTGGTTATTTATTTTTAACCTTTAAATAAAAGGTAAAAAAACCCCAAACAAAACAAGCAGAATAACTTCTCACAAAATACAAATGCAAATGTGTTTACCACTCAACTGTCTTACACAGTTCAAACACTAGCTGGTGCTTGTTAGCCTACTGTTGGAGTGTTTAACTATGATTTTAGGCGTTGCTATGCATATAAATTGGGATGCCTTTATTTTATCTCTCTACCTGGTTTCCAGTGCTCTAGTTGATCACAGGAAACATTAAATGTTTTTTTTAGCTGCTGACTAAAAGTATGCAAGCAGATCATAAAGCTATGGTGTTTAATATCTAGTAACTTTTCCTGCATTACTTTGGTGTGGAGTTCTTTAGATGGTATCTATCATGGCCCATATCACATTAGCATCCTTACCTGTGTGGAGTGGACATACCTGTGTAATGTGTATTCTCGTTTGTTTGGTTAAAAAAAAATCAAAGATGATTCCTACTGGATCTGAAATAATATAACAAATAAATTGATGTTCTTTGAATCATTTGTTATTTCATTATGCAGAATGTTATCAAAAAGCTCCAAGTTTTATTGAGTAACAAAACCGGAACAAGCTATTAGATCATGAGTTAGCAAACTTTGCTAACTAATCAATGTGCAGCTCCAGTCAGCTGCTCATTAATTAATCAATTTCATTTAATTTATTTTATTTTATTATTTGATTTATTTAATTGATTTTATTTAAATAGGACAGTCCATATTAATTAATGTACATTGTTGTCATCAATATGCAAGATTTAGCAGAATTCTAATTTCATTACGGAAAGCCAAACAAAAGCTGTACAAGCTTTCAGAAATGTTGAAGATGCGGGAAAAGGTCCGGTACACCAACCCAGATGATGTGCCTTTGCTAACTGTTTCTACAGCATTATTTTCAGATTTCCTGCTCAGTTAACGATTCCCCCTTTGCATTTGCTAAATCAGGAACTGGATGAAATGCAGAAATGTTCCCATGTGGGTTTGACCATGTGGGTCAAAGACCCTTAAAACATTCAAGATACAAGCATTCATACAATTTCATACATAAAAATAAGAGCTCACTGTACTTGCTACTAATTGTTTGCCCCATGTACAGTTTAATTTCCTTCACATAGCTTTGTTTTTTGGTACCAGAAATATTTCTAACCAGCCAAGACTTCCTTGCAACCAAACAAACACCAACAATGCACAGCAATAGGTGGGGTAGAGGAACAGCTCTGCTGCCTTCTGTAGTTTCCCTGACGTTTCTTTAAAATAAGTTTAAAAAATAAGAACTGTGCTATAGAAAATTCCATTGATTTGAAACTAAGTATGTAAACATTCTAATTTTACTATGTTGGTAATTTTTTAAGTTGTAGATATATTTGAGTAAAAGTTTTAAGATTTTGAGATTCTTTTTTGATCTAAGATGTTTTCGCCGCCTTTCAGTTTCTAAGGATATAGTTGACACATAAATTTTGTCTTGCTCTGCTCATGTGTAGTCTACGGAGTTTGTGTTTTTTTACATTTTCAAATGTCACTGAGGAGTTATGGTTGTCACACACTTTAAACAGGAAAAGAACCAAAATATTCCTGGGAACCACAAGAACCCCGGCATTCTGATTTGCTCTCGAGCTGTTTGCATTGGTAAGTGATGAAGAGTGGAGCTCCATGTTAACTCTTTGTCTTCTTCATCCTCCTCAGTGGGTGGGTGCTCCCTCCTGCCAGAGAGGCAGCTACGCCTTCTACAAGTCAGTGAGCAGCAGAGCTCAGGCTGACGGGCCGCTCCAGGTGTGGAAACTCGGTGAGTTCTACTTCATCCAATGTGGGCCGGAGGATCCCGTCTGTATTGCCGAGGTGAGAATCCTTTTTAATCCAGACTTTCTCCTCTATTGAAGCTGCTTCACATATTCAGGAAGGAGAGATCGCATTTTTTATGACAGCTAATTGTCTTGTCCAACTCCCATCAGACCGAAGAACCAAGATGCTAGGACAAACTCAAAACTTCCCAGTTCAAACAGTTTTTTTTTACCTAAAAAGTTACTTGAAGTAGCTTATTGTTTATAACAATTCTGAAATACTGAGTGCAGTAAACTCACCATTACTCCCATCTACTCATTCTTGTTAAAAAAAAAAAGAATTGTTCCCAATCTGGACATTTTGTCCTGTTCTACAGGAGTCAATATGCCACTATTATAGATACAGTAATAGAGTGAAGAGTAGTAGAACACAATGGAGAAGGTTCTTGGATGCATAGGCTTTCTTTTGGAACAGAGTGCTAAGTATTTCACATTGATAGATTTGTTTATTTTCATATAGTTTACCTAAATTCAAAGTCCAAACAGTTAAAAGCTGTGAAACAAGATGGCGGCCTCTGACATTACTCTGAACTATGGAGACCCAAGGAGGGGATGGTTGGGGAAAATAATTCAGATTTTCCAAAAATGAAATCTTCATAAATGAATGATTTATTGATGAGATTGATTTGCTGTTCATCATAAACTACTCTACAGCTCATATTTGTCTCTTAACTAAAACCATAATAGTTTAAATCATCATACAACTCCTAAGAAAACATTTACTTTACTCTTTTTTTTTTGTTAAAATAATAGGAGACTAACTTTAACTTTAAGCAGCATTTATTCACTGTATTATAGGTATTACTGTAACTGGTATTACATTTTACTGCTCAATGGATTGCATCAATAAGATAGATCGAATATAATTAAATTCATAAGCTTCTGGGCAAAGACTGAATCATAGAAAGCTGATCAAATGTTTTTGAGGAACTGGTCACACAGCAGACAGACGGCTTATTGAACCTCAGAAAATAAATTAGAATTGGCTTTGTGTGTGTGTGTGTGTGTGTGTATTTTATTTTTTCTGATTCATTAGCTGTCCCCTGATCAGTCTCATGAGCTTCCTCTGCATGGTTCTTGTTTGTAACAAAACCATGTGAACCATCAAAATCTTTGTTTACGCTCTCCTTTGATATTTTGGATCACTTCAGCCTCTAAAATCCATCACCTGACTTATTTCACAATATCAAGATGCAACATTTTGGAGGAAAACTATCAGTACTTACTTTTTACTTTTTATTTCTATTCTATTGAAGATTCTGTCCAACAAAAATACAAATGGTGACAAATTATTACACTTTATATGGTTTTTAAAATGATGTAGCAAATATGTTTTTTTTTTTTTTTTTTTTTTTTACATTAAATGCAATACATAAAACAGTTTTTGCTTAATTGCTCTGAATATTTTTTTTTCAGTAATTGACCTTTTTTCAGTTTTTCAGTATACTCGAGTTCAAACATCAATATATTAATATTATTATTCAATATTAATATTGAATAATATTAATATCAATATTAATATTCATATTGATATTCATCAATCTTTTCAGGGGGTTTTCAAATATTTTTTGATCTAAAAAAATGTGTCTATAGTAGCTTCTTTAGGCGCTGCTCCACAAAGAGCAGGTTCAATTTAAATACGTTTGAATAGATTGCAAAGTTCCAGTAGCCCTCCAACAGATGACGCGAGTGGTTCAGTGTGAATTTCTTATAAAAGTCAGTGGAGAGTCCTGTCTGTCCTCCTTTGATTCACTTATGCCATCTTTAATTCTGACCTGTTTGACATTTAAATCGTCATCTTCCTCACTCACCCCTGTTTGCCTCTTCTGTTTGTTCACATCGATTTGGAGCTTGAGTTTTGGCAAGAGAAGCCATCTAAGTTTCCAGCTTTGTGCTCACTCAACCACATATTAGAAAGCAGAATTCATTACAGTGAAACTGAAAGTAAAACTTCACCAGTGTGATTTAAACAGATTCTGCATAACAGACGGTTTCTCAGATGGTTGAAAAACAGCTGTGGTCTGTTTTCGTTGCTGTACAGGTGACCTTGCTGTGGGAAGATCAGGCTCGGCGCCACCTGTTGGCCAGTGCCAGACTCTACTTCCTGCCTGAGGACACCCCAAAGGGCCGAACCAGAGAGCATGGAGAGGTAGCACGTTTAAGGTTTTGTTGTTTTAGGTATTTAGAGATAATTGCTATAATTTATTTAAGATTTTCTCCTCAATCTCTTTTCATCAACCTAATTCTGATTTTCATTGTCTGTTAATCAACCCGTTATTATTGGTTATCAAAATTAAATCAGATTCACAGTAAGTGAATCTGATGAGGACTTCTTGTCCTTGAGTTAAAAGCTGCATTTTTAAAGGCTAGAAAGTTTATTTTATGTCTGGTTTTATATTTATTGAATCAATTAATTAAACTGAGTTTATTAAAGATTAAAACAATATAAATAATGTCTAATACTTTCCACTTGTTGTTGAAGAACTCAAACAAAAGAGATTTTAATGAAGTAAGCCTAATGGGTTAATAAAACAAAACGGCATTTTCTTTGAAACTCAAAAAGAAACTTATTTTATTGTAAGAGTTAATTTGCATTAATTTTTTTCATATTGCTGATACTTCACAAATGCAGTTTTACAGGAAAAGTTTCAATTAATCCCTTAACATCAAACAATGATAGGTAGAGTGTCAGTTTTGGGGGAAAAAAAAATATGGATATACTATTTTGTGATGCATTAGTGTCCACTTCAGTGGTCTGTGTGCATTTGTAACATAAAAGTCCAAAAGTAGCACAAGAAAATGGCTTTTAGATTGCTGTCCACTGTTGTGACCAAGGGTTAAACGAAAGGGTTAAAATGATTTCTGAGTTCTTTGGGAAAATCTTTTGTTAATAGCTATGAACTACAAATGTTTGCGTTTGAAAGACCTCCTTGCCATCACCATCATCTATAAGCTCCCAGAATAAGTCAGGACAGCTTCAGAATATCAACATTGTTTTCACAAGACAAAGCTATATTGGTAAAAACATAAACAATAAAATAATTTGTCTCATATCTGACTGTATTGCAGATGCTTTTATGTAATCAGAAAGGAAGCATAACACTTTGCAGGTTAACATAACACTTTTTTGAGAAATTTGTTTTTTATTTCCGAGAATCTTACGCTTTTTTTTTTTATTGGCTAAATTATAAAAATCCAGTTTAGTTAATTCTATTTATTGTTAAATTCAAAACTGTGTAATTTGTATAATATGTGCATAGCTCTCATATTTATGTTTTATATTTGTACAAAACATTTTATTATAGCACATCAATATTATTCTCTGTTTATATCTTGTACAACTGTTTATAAATATTTATATCCTGTATAGCACTTCTGGATAGATGCGAACTACATTTCGTTGCTTTGTACATGTGATAGTGCAATGACAATAAATTTGAATTCTATTCTATTCTACACTATTCTTAGGAATGAACCTGAATGTTTCTGCATCTGATATGTTTTGATTGTTCAAAGAAAAATTCTTAATAATTAGAATCAGCAGATCAGACCACAAAGACAAATAGACTCTAAATGTTCCTTCTGTACTTCTTAAAGGAATTAATTTTAAGAAGAGCATGTATTTAGAATAGACAAATACTGCGAAAATAAATTAAATGTAAACCATGTGAAATTTAATCTTGCAACTGTAGACTAACACTGAGAATAAATGTCTCCTTAATATAGCCTGAGCTGCACTTAAAGAACATCTAATAATATCGTCTCCTCAGGATCACTGGCTCCTTTTTAGAACCAAACATCTCTATACAGGAATCTAAACAGGTTAAAATCCAGACTACATTTCCCTCCTGGAAAAAAAAAATCAAACTCACTCAGCATCTTTGCTCAGATGTTATTCATTTGACTAAATCTGCAGCCATTTTTAATGAAAACTATTATCTGATGAGATAGTGTTTTTCATCACATGCATCACATGATGCTCGGCTCCCGTGTGAATGTCTGCTGTAGGATTCAGGCTAATGTAAATCTTATGACTTGTCTGAAACCAAATTTTCCACATTTCACCTCGTGTAAAATGTCTGTTGTTTTTACAGTTATTGGACTCTAGTTTATTTTCATGAGATTAAGGTCATTGTTTCTGTGGTCATCTTGACTCAATTTTTGTTATTTTTTTCTAAAGCAGGTTATATGTTATAAACCCCTGATCAACACTTTTAAAAACAGAATTTCAAGAACAACGCTTTATTTATTAAAGATTTTCATAGTCGCTGGTTGCTGTGGTAATTCGCACTACAGGCATACAAAAATGGGTAGGAATTTAAGCTGCTGTGCAAAAACTATCGATCACATCAAAACAATATCAAACTGCGAGTGGCAGAACTTTACAGTGGTCTCACATCGAATGATCTTGTGTAGCACCTGCTACACAAAAACATGTTTCACTAAACAGGAATTTTCTTAAAAACCTTGAATCAACATCTAATTTCAGTCAAGCAAAGTTCCTGTGACTCATTTAAATTCTACATGGTGTTTCTACTGTAAGGTTGAGTTATCACCAAAATACTATTTATTTTTTATCCGAAAAGTATTTAGAGGTTCATAACAGCATCAGTTAAAATGAGCATATTTAAATGCAATTAGTGTGTGCTGTTAAGTTGCGCCACTGCACTTTTTTATGTCACTGGTGTTCTGAAATAGTCAATTTTATACTCATTGGGAGGCCTCTGACTGTACGCAGTGGTAGATTTATAGCCAAAAGGGGAATTTGTAACAGTTTTTATCAATAGTTGCACTAAATATCATGAAGGATTCATATTCATATTAGTTATATTTTTTGAGCTTCTGAACTAAAAATTTGAGGTATAAAGGCAGTAATATGGAGTTTTTATTTAATTTGAAACAGCAATTTTAAATATATTATATTTAATATAATAATACAGGAAGCAAACATAAGCTTGACCAATAAGGCTGATTTAGTGTTTCTTCTGATTATAAGATGAGCTAAAATTATACATCTAAAACTCAACCTGCAATTAGTCTTCCATAAATACATAAACAACAAAATACAGTGTTGGACACACTTCCGCCAATGCGCTAATAGCAGAAAGACAATTTTTTCAGCGCTTTAGCATTTTTGATAACTTTTAACATTTTTAGTGCACTTAAATTCCACTAAATAAATCAGCTGATGCTATATAAGCATTTATACCCACAGTTAAATATTTTCAGCTCAATTTGGGCCAACGTTTCTTCATTTTCAAACAATGATCAGTAGTTTTCTTTTGTGGTTTTAAGCTTCAGCTGACAGCTGCCACATCCTGTGTTTTAGCTGTAAGAATGTATTTTTTTTAAGTGCCTTGTTTCATAAAGAGCAGTCTTTGATCTCCACTGAATCTTCTCAGCTGAAGACTCGTTTGATTGGCAGCAACTGGAGGTTCATCACATTTGTATTTGAGAAGCAGAGCAGCTCTAACCATGTCACTGTCATTTTTCGGACCAATGTTTCTCCAAGAGCCAGAAAATGATTGTGGATTCCACCCAACGTTCTCCATTGTTACACTACTAGTATTCCGACTGGAGTCCAATCATTCAGATTTTCACGATTCAGAGCTACAACATTGCATTGCATAAAAAGATTTTTTTTCCTTTCTTGGCCTACTTTCTTATTCCATTTACTCTCAATCTTTTTTTGGAGATAAATAATTGTTAAAATGCTTAAATGTTTAATATAGTTTCATTTAATTGTTTATTTTCTGTGAATGTTTCATTAAATCCTAATTATGGTACTATCATGGTTCTAATCACCATTTGTAGCAGTTGACTCATGAATTATGAAAGATTAGGTTCTCTAGTGAGACCAAAAGACATAATGTTGGCAGATTTTAAAGTGGGTATGTCTCTGAGTTGCCCTAATTCATTTTCTGAAGACGCAAATGTTTAAGTGCTTTGGCTAATAATTCTTGTGTGTTTTTTTTAATGTTTTATAAATAAGTCTAGATCCAAAAATATTTAATAAACCTAAAATATTTTTCTACTCTTATATTTAAAACATCTGTTTATGTACAATGACATTATGTTTATTTTTTAATTGAGTGCAGCAAGTTTTTTGAAATGCAAGTCTAAATGTAGAGAATAAAAGAAGTCAAAATATGTTCCATTTCCTCTGTCCGATATTTGATATAAGCATGTCAGGTCTGATACTGCATCGGTTCCGCCCATTCCTTCGTGCAATACATTGTTTGAGTTGTTAATTTAGTGGTTTTCTTCACCAGGATTAAGGAAAGACAAAGGACATGATGTGTTTAAACTGAATTTCTGTTCTCTGAATCGCTCACTGGTGTGTCAGTAGATCCTCCAGGGTTCATTTGTGTCCCAGGCTCTCTAGTTCTGATCAGAATGATCTGATCTCTGTGGATCCTCACAGATCCAAATCAGCTGTTTCATCTTCAATTTCTGGTGTGCTTGAAAACATATTAGACTAGCTCCGGTTCCTGTTTGAGTTACACACAGGAAGTAAATGTAGGTTGCTTAGAGTGTGTAACCAAATAGGACAGAAATAAAAGACAAATATTGCTTTTTGCCTTTTTAGCGTCTATTTTTTTTTAAAAAATTCCCATTCCTATTTCTTAACATTTAAAATTCTGATTTAAATTAAATTCAAAACTTAGATAGCACATTAAAATGTTTTTCTATAGATTAAGCCTTTTTTCTTTGCTTATTTTAGACACAAATAGAGGCCAGAGGTTGAGTTTGGCCATATTTTTCCCTGGGATGAGCTCATTGTGAGCTGCAGCAGCAGGAATTTGAGCAGTGCTCTGCTGACTGGAGCTGAGAGGAGGTGGAGGTCACTGGAGGAGTGCCAAACCCCTGACCAACAAACCAAATGGGAGGAGTCGGCTGCAACTCCACCTTTACTGTAAACTGATTGACTCCTTCTTGTTTATTCAGGAACACCTGAAGGACTTCATGTGCAAAAGCTGCAGTTAGACTTGTTTGAATAATTTGTTTTAAAAAAAAGTTTCCTGGTCTGCTTTCATTGGCTGTTAAAAATATTTCAATTGGAAGTACAAGCCCAGGTGGAGATGATCTCACGATTGTTTCTAAATGATCAGCCATCTGCTGCAGCTCGACCAATTTGACTTTGTCATCCTGCAGACGTCTGAAGAGACGGCGATGCTCATCTTTTTCACAAACTTCCTAAACGTTTCAAACACATTTTCATCTGCTGCAGTGGAGATAAATCAGCTGTGCCCATTGCCATTAACTCCTGCTCCACTTCATGCATGTTTGGCTCATAATCCCATGGTTTTAATGTTCTGCTACTCCATTTCAATCATTCAATATTTAATAGTGATATGACTAGAGTAGAAATGTGTGCATGCATTTCATTTCAAAAAGGATCCGGAATATATAGACTTAGATAATATATGCATTCAACTTTATCAACCCATAAAGATTAAGTGGTCAAATATACATACATAATTCTGTTATTTCAGTAATATTAGTCAGGCTATTAGTCAGCACTACATATACTTTACCATGTATATGTAGTGCTGATCACATTTAGAATAAAGAGAATGCAGAAATCATTGTCTTATTTTTGGGTAACCATTTCACCCTGGAAAAGAAAAAGACTAAAATGAAAAGCCTGAAATGACTCAGACCTCTATTGGCAGAAACTTCCTGTTTTATTTTGGAGTGTTTTGCAACGAGTTAGTGTGTTTGTTTGACATCATCTGTCACCGAGCAAAGGGGCCACGTCTCTTTCTTAAAAATTTTTAAAGCGTAGATGTTCAAACAGCTGTTTTCAGATCGGTTGTTGTAATATTCCTGGAGGAAAAGGACTGGAACGTGAAATCTTAAAGTGTAGGGAAATGCTGAAAACATCTACTTTGCAGTCATATTTTATCACAAAGCCTTTCTTAAGCAGTTCAGACTTATCTTATCCTGCTCTCTGTAGATTCCTTTGTTTCCTCGTGTTTTCTTCTGTTTGAACATGTTCAGCTTGATGTCTTCACCTGCTCAGGTGGGATGGAGGAGGAGCTGATCGAAGCTGATTTATTCAAGGCCTCTAGGTATTTTTCTACAAGCAAAAATCAAAATGGGAAACTTTGACTTGTCTAGGTTTCTGTTTATCAGTGACACTGAAGTCTCGCATTATGAAGAACTAAACAATTAATTTTGTAAGGTTTCAACTCTTGAAGCACTTTGTTGCTAAGGAACAAATATTTATGAACACAATTTGTATGGTTAAAGATTATTGCTGCTGTCTTGGGTTTTTAAAACTCAATCAATGATAAAATGTGAGCTGCACATTTTATTCTTAAGGTTCACATGGATACTTCTTTTGAAGAACCCTAAATGGTTTTTAAAGTTTAGACTGTTTAATCCAGTTCATTTGCAGAGCTGTGTAATCAAACCCTGATGTGGACCAAAAAATTAACTTTGATCCACTTAGAAATTTAGGTCTCTGTTTAGTTGAAATGAACTCTAGTGCAGTTCGAATGCATATGTGGATTCAAGACAGCTATAGTGCAAAACATTCTAGGTAAATACAACCAAACGAAATGCAAGTGTCGCGCTGGCGGGTGAAACGGCTTGTCGTTTTTTGTCAAAGACAAAAGAGAAATCCTATAGCTGCTAAAATCTGACATTACTCCATTTTTGTTTACATTTATTGAAGAAGGAAGTTTACTTTTTCAGAGGGTTTCATGGCGTTTCCTTCATTGATTTTTTTTTTTTTTTTTTTTTTTTTTTTTTTTTTTTTTTTTTTTTTTTTTTTTTTTGCCGTGCCATTACAGACAAAGGGGAAAACGGCAGCATCAGCTGAAAATAACAAGCGTTTCAATTTTGTTTCCCAATCACACAGTCTATCAGGCTACCGGATATTAAAAAACCCTTTATTTATGGGTTCCAGAGTGAAAAGCTTCTCAATGTAGAGAAATTTGATGTGGTAAAAATTCATAATATTTTTTTATACAGTAAAATCTAAATGTTTTAACTACATAAACCTTTGTTCTTAAAGAAAAATGCACTAAACTTATTTTAATCATCTTGGACAATTTTAGCAACTTGTGTGAACCACATAAATAGGTCAGCATATTTGAGACTTTGTGTCTCAAACAATATGGATTTATTTTATTTAGTGGCATAATTCAGAAAAGTTTTCTCCTTCTCATGTAGCAGGAGGAGAATTTTGTATTGTAATTTTTGTGCCTAAATCAGTTAGAAGAAATGCTAACTTATTAGCATTAATTATGTTAATTTTTATGCTCTCACTCTACGCCCTTATATGTGTTAGCAGTAAACCTCAGTCCGCAGTTCCATACACCGAGCATTTAGCTGATTCCATAAACTGTTTTAATTAGCCTCAGTTAACTACTCAAAGTTCAGCATTTTATCCAGGTTATTATTTTGAAGGTTCACAACATCAATTATGTAAAAGAGAACCCAGATGTTATTTGCAGACTTTTCAGAAAACTGCAAACATTCAGCTAAATGTTTTCTTACTTAGCATTAGCCATTAGCCAACAAATAATTGCTTCTAAGTAGTGCTGTCATAAGTCGTCTCTGCAGGTAGTGAGTACTAAGCATCTTCAGAAGTCTTTCTTGTAGCATTATAAAGGCCAAAGGACAGCTAAATTTAACATCAGCTGCTCTGTGGTGGTTGAAATTGACTGGCTGCACTTTCACTGCTTTCTGCTTGCAGCTGCAGAGACAAACAGAGCAGTATGCTTCTACCCAGTAATCAAGACCAGTAACAGATCCATCCATTCTGCACGAAGATCAATAAAGATGAAAGAAAACTGAGAAATGTCTAAGAGTAAAGAACTACACCTTATGCTGTGCTTTTTCAGATGTTCTAATCCATCACAATCTAATGTCGTTACATTCCCCACATCTGATTTGATCTGATTAGCTTTACAGTCACATGACCTTCAAATACATCCTGTTTCACTCTTCACAGTGCCAATAAAATGTTTTCACCCACCCCATTCATCACATATTTCTTTTTTTAAATTTTTTATCAAGAAAATTATGAAAACGCCCTTTAAAGTCAAAGTGAAATTGATTTCTATAAAATGACATTCAAGGAAAAAAAAGTAACATTCAACATAGGGTTACATAAGTATACACCCCTTTATGTCAGCAACAGACTCCAAATTATAAAATACCCAAAAGGGGTGAATACATTTTAGAGGCACTGTATTATTTCTTACCTACAAATAGATAAAGACTAATTCTGCATATTTTTAATGTACATTTCTGTTCCAGCAATTCTGAAGCAAATTTCTATTCTATTTCATCAGGATGAAGTCCTGGCCGTGTCCAGGAAGATGGTGGTACGGGTGGAGGACCTGGTGAAATGGTCGCGTGCCAACCTCGCCATGTGGAGCGGTGGCCCAATGCCTCCAGTGGTCAAGACAAACGGTGTCCACGAACTTCCACAGAGTGGTGGAGACAACGTCGATGGCATGCAAAGCGACAACAGTGAGCTCCTGGATGTCAAAACTGAAGGTAACAAAAACGCAGCCAAACGTCCCATGAATTTCTGTAAATATATGAGCAGAAGAAAAGTCTTTTCAGTCAAACCCACTTCATTCATTTTCTAACTTTTTCTAAAATGATACAGGATATGTTTGGAGCCTCTGCAGGCAGCCAGACATTTTTTCTCCCTGGGAATTTTCTGTCCTCTAACTTTCTGTTTCTGGTGCAGGAGTTACAGAAATGTAGCAGTTTATAGTTTCATGTCGGCTCCCTATTCCTGCTTTTCACCAACACATCTCAGTCTGAGAGATAACCCTGAGGTTTAAGAGCTGGAGGAAAAACTGAGTCATGCTAGCTTTAACGTGTAGCAGCTGCAAATCTTACTGCAAAGCAGAAATGTTGGAGGGAATTGTAAAAGTGTTCACACCCATCTGCTTTTCCACATTTCTATATGTTGCAACTACATGTATTTTGTTGGGCTTTTAATAGTTTGATGCAAAATAGAGACAAATTATGAAGTGGAAGAACCATGATAGTTCACTTTTCAAGGTCAGTTAGTTGCATTTGGTCCTTTTGTATCCCAAAATGAAATCTGTTGCCTCCTTTAGAAATCAGTTAATTGGTAAATAAAGCCAACCTTTGTGTGATTTATGGCGTTCCTTTGCAGTCTTGAAAAATCTAGAATCTGCTTCTATCATTTTCCACCTTTATAAAAAGTTTGGAAAAATGTTAAACTTTTTCTGTTTTTTTTTTCCTCTCCATTTCCTGTTTTGAGTGTTCACTTAATTAAATATGTCCTTGATTTGCAAATCACATCTTGATATTAACAGTTCATATTTCCTTCTTGACTTGTTATATAAAAACTCTGCAAAAAAAAAAAAATGTCCAAAGGTCTGGTCAGAAGCAAAACTGTAATTTTTTGATTTATACCTAAAATGTTTTGTGGCAGAAAACTAAAATTGAGACTCGTTCTTAGCAATTAATCTCCATTATGAGACATAGTGATGGTAGTGTCATGCTGTAAGTATGATTTTCTTCTGCAAAAATAAAGAAGCTGGTCAGAGTTGTTGATAATCCTGGAAAAAATCTGTTTAAAATGGAGAATAATTTCTGTTCATCCAGTGTGACTGATGCTGAGCTGTTTCAAAAGAGTTTACTGCTTCATTCCCCAATGTCTGAAGCTGATGGAGACAAAAGACTTCCAGCTGTCACTGTATTAAAAGCTGCTTTTGTAAAGCATTGTCCCAGGACAGTGCAAAGCAAATTCTTTCCACAATTTTCACATTTTTACTTGCAGAAAATGTTGAAGTCCCTTTTTTCATTTTTATTTTTCTTCTTCAATTAATCAGCACTTGCAAATGTAAAATCTAATTTCAAAACACCAGAGAACATTAAAAAGGGTCAAGAGGTATAAATGTAAAGTTAGTAAAGAACTAAAGTTATTTTTTTAACTCTCAACATCAAAATAACTTTTTACAGTGATGTTCATCTCCTGACTGTTTGGTCTCATTTTTCCCATCATAAACAGGATGTTTTGTTATGACCTTTTGTGTCCAAACTTTTCAATGGTGGTGTTGAAATATAAAACAGAAATATTCATGGGATGTGAATATATGCAATGCCTTGCATAAAAGCATTTCAACTGTTCCCACAGAAGAATGAAGCAACAGTATAACTGTTCTGTAAACCAATCAGCTGACATCTTGTGCCGCAGTTTGTTTTTTGAATTTTCAGTTAAAGTTTTGATGTAAAGAAATCCTGATTGGTGCATTGATCTTGAAAGATTTAGAAGTTTGAAAAAAATAATTAACTTTCTTTGCAATTTTCTAAATCTAAATTTCTGATTTAATTGTTTCTTTTTTCTCTTCAAAATCATGCTTAGGTTAGTTTTTTTTAGTTTTTTTTTAATCTTTGTTCTGGATGTGTGTACATTTTTGTTTCAAACAACCTACAGATATTGACAGTTTCCCCACTCTTCAAGATATATCTTGACATTTAAGTGTACAGAAATAGTTTTATAACAGCATCAAATTTTGTTTTGCTCATATTTGTAATCCTGTTGTAGGAAACAAGATTAAATATGACCATGATTTTTTTTTTTTTATATATATATATATAAAAGCATCTCTCTAGTAGAGTAATAATTATTTTTGCAATGTGTTTCTCCTCAGAGAAAGCTTGGATGTGATTTTATGAAAAGTTAAAAGAGTTTTGAAATGAGATGTCGATCAGTCAAAAGTTCTGACTTGTCAGTAGAAATGTTGCTTCACTATTCAGCAGCTTGTGTTTTCTTCAAGACCAGGTCAGAGGTCACCATGCTGATTCTGCCATTTTTTTCTGTGCTGTCACCCCGCAGATGAGCCGTCGCTGCGGCAGACTGTCAAGGTTCTCAGCTACCCGCAGTACTGCCGCTTCCGCTCCCTGCAGAGACGAATCCAGGATGGAGCCAGGGGCCCCAAGCTGCAGGACCCATACCTGTTGGCCCTCGGGGCCATCAAGGTTCTGCCCAATGTCAGGGTGATGTACTGCAGGGACACCTTCAACCACCCGACACTGGAGAGCAGCGCCTGTTTCTCCTGGCAGTTCAGTGAGTGAAACTGGAAACCTTCCTCACAACTTGAGGAAGCATAAGTAGTTTTTTTTCTACTGCTTATACTCCTTTTTTCAATTAATTTTTTTTGTATAGCGGCATTGAATTGCAATATCACAATCATTCCCGTTGATCTTGGTTATCAAACAGCACATTAATCTCAATTTCTTGTTGAAATTAGTTTAAGAAGTTTCTATCTAAAGAAATCTAGCAGATTACATTGAGTCACTGACTTGCAGCATCCACTCCTGCTGGACCACTACGTTGCGACAATCGCTACATGCTACATGCATGCTGAGCATTCATACAGCAACAGTGAAGAGGAAAATTCACCTTTAACGAGAAGAAACTTCCAGCAGAACACGACTCAGTACAAGCTGCCATTTGCCATGACCAACTGGAGGTTTCAGAAGGCAGCAGAGCAGACACAAAAAAATAAACGCATGAACCGATGTAGGAGAACTTTCTATGTTTATAAAAACCAAAAGGTAATAGCAGGAGAGACAGAACATTTAGTTGATGGCAGCAATATGTCAGCCATTGCCCTCCTCAAGGAAGGTACCGCAGTTAAAACAACAGAAGACCAGATGAAGCTTCTATGGAGAGCAAATAACAAAAAAAACATCCAGTTCACAGTTAAAATAACTGAATAATGCAGGTTGGGGAGGCGCTGGAGAGGAAAGTAGCACAGTGGGATAAAGTGGTCCATATTCTGTGTTAAATATACAATACTTTGTTGCATTAATAAATGTTTTAAAATAACCTTTTAACTATATTTAATAATAGGGCTGCAATTAACAACCATTTCCTGTTCTCCTTTTAGTGAAGTATCTGTGTTCGTTTTGTATTTCTTATCTTTCTGCTCCAAATCCAGTGTACTTTACTGTGTGTAGTGCATCATTGTGGCATATCGTGTTAAAATTTCTGCTCTATGCAACCTTTATTTTGATTGATTATTTTGGCAATTAATCAGATTTTTAAAAATTGCCATATTTTACAAATGTTTGATTTGACCTCTAATTCCTTTTTTATACAGTATTAGAAATGGATTAAAGGATGCAAAAAAATCAATTTTATTGATTTTTAAAATGAGAAAATAAACATTTTATTGCTTAAAATCAAATAATATAGGAATCTTTTAGTGAATATGTACCGGGTGAAGTTAAAACTATGACATTTGGGGTAAATTATATTCATGTCCAAATTAGGTTTTATCTTGAATTCAAAACGTATTTTGTAAAGTTTTGGCTTAACTACTTCTCTGTATGTTTTTTTTTTTTCAGCAAATGGATTTTTTGTCTATTGAATAACCTATTACTAAATTAGTTGACAATTATTTCAACAGTCAATTAATTGGATTAATAATTTCATCTTTGTTTAACCAGCTTAACCTCACCACCATGTTAACGATTATTCATATCACTCTGATTTTTAGTTGCTGATTAGGGTGAATAATTTTCACACATACAGTCTCGTTTGTCCCCTAAGGCGGTTAAACTGTTGATGTTAGTCCAAATGAAAATGATTTCTGTGGGTTTTCTGTTCAAGATTTGAAATGATCTTCCACCCCGAGTTGTTGTTCTCATGAAATCATGCCTCAGACTAACAGATTGTTAGTCTGTCACTAACAGACTCAAAAACGTCACTTCCTTCCTGACAGCCTGCCTGTGAAAGGCTGCACCCTGCTGGACATCTTGATTGTTTTCTTTTAGATTCTGCAGTACATTGTTACTGTTTTTAAAAGTTTGTCCTCATTGTGTCCTCCAGGGTGTCCATCTCTGAGTCTCCGAGGACGACCTCGTAAGAGGAAAGGTCGCGACAGTAAAGACTCTCCGACCTCAGGCCAACCAGAGTCCTGGATCGAAAAGATGAAGGTCGGTGTGTTTTTATCCTAGAACCTTTGTCTGCTCTCTGAAGCTAAAGCCTTCTTTCAGCCCAACTCTGAATCAATAAACATCTTCTGCTCATTCTTTCCCTCCAAAACCTCATAAAGACACAGGAGTTCAGAGAGAAGTTAGACCAAGAATTAGTTTCAGAAGTCAAAGCAGATCAACTTCAGTGATCCTTACAATTGTTGATCACAAAATGTTAACAGAGAATATCTGAAGATGTGGGTGATCCTCATAGCGTTTCATATTGAACCCCCTCCACTTTCACTGCATTTCTCTGAAAATATGGACATTTATTCAGGAAAGTTTGACAAAACGAGACTTTAACAGAAAACTGTCTAAAAGTGGACTGTCTCAAACTGTCCTCCTTTTTCTTCTCTTCATCCTGCAGGAGAACGTGATGGGCAGCGTGGAGGTCGGCTGTGAGGGCAGCTGGCTCCCTCATCCAGAGGAACAGCTGTTCCTGGATCAGCTCTTCGTTTTCATGGAGCGCCACGGATCGCCCATCCACAAAGTTCCCAACCTAGGTTTCAAGAAGAGTGAGTCCTCCGTTTTCCCTCCTCTCTCTGCTCTGTTGTTCAGTTTTCCTTCACTCCTTCAATAAAAATCATCTTCTGTTGTTACTCTGGAAAGTTTATTTAATCCTTTTTTGTGTTATTAATACTTTTTAAGTTCTTTTATATACATTTTTTGTGAAGCTTTCCATTTGATTGATTTTTGTCTTTTATGAGTTTCTTATCTTTTACTTTCCAACTTTTCTATCCTAGTCTTATAACTAAAACATTTTTTTCTCTATATCTGGTCATTTTGTCCCATCACCATTTTGCAGTCTGTATTCTTTTTAATTAACTTTTTGGTAACACTTTGACAGGGTGTGCATAAGACTGACATAGCACTATCATAAACATGACTTAATAGTTGTCATGAACATGAAGGACTCTTTATGAATGTCTATGACTACTGTCATTAAGACTTGTTTTAAAACTCCACTAAAATATCAACTTTTGCATAAAAAGTATCATTATTTACCGAATAACAATTAAGTCATGTTTATGGATAACCAGTGTTATGTGAGGCTTAACCACACTGTGCCAAATAAAGCGTTCAAGATTACCAACTTTATTTTTCCGGTACAACAGTCTTCAACCAGTAATGTGCAAACTAATTAAAGATTTGAGTTATTAGTGCTTTTTTAAATGTTTAATTCATAAATTGCTAAATTACCAACAAAATAAACTAAGAATTGGTAGCTTTGTTTTTATTTTCCTTCCATGCATTATTTGTTTTGAGCTTTTTAAAAAATTTTTTGTTAATTTCATTTCCCTTTTTTTCCCTATTCCTATTCCTGTTGACCTTTTGTTTGTATAATAGAACATTTTCTTTTGTCTTTAGTTTCCTTTTTCACCTCTTGCTTATTTCTCTCCATTAATTGCTGTTGTCTATCTAAAAACCCTAAAGATGGTTTCATATGCATTCTCTGCCTGTGAATTTGAACCAGCAGAATTTAGATTTGGAAACATTTGTATGAATCATAGAGCTTAAAAATAAGTGTGATCAATGTGGATTCAGTAGGGAACTTATAGACTTACTGAGCTGAACCTGGTTTGCATTTTTGATCTGTTTCTGCAGTCGACCTGTTCCTCATGTATTCAGTGGTCAAACGGCTCGGTGGCTACAAGAAGGTGAGCATGATCTACCTTAGTCGAGATTTTGTTGAAAAAGCTGAAAAAATTCAACAGTGAACCTTAGATAGACTTTCAAGACATCCAAACAACTTAAAAACATTACAGAAAGGTCTGAATTAGAGGCAAATCATTACAAATTTTTAGCTTCCAACATGGTGCAGCGACATTTGAGTCAACAAAAACCAAAGTCAACGATGAACAGATTCCTGGAGGATCTCTGGTGATTGTTCTGTGTTTGTATGTCAGGTGACTTCGGACCGCCTGTGGAAGGTGGTGTACAACGAGCTGGGCGGATGTCCAGGCAGCACTAGCGCAGCTACCTGCACGAGGAGACACTACGAAAGGTTGGACGAACAAACTCTCCCTCATCCTGACCGCCTTTGTCAGGATCCAAAACCAGGAATGCCTCCACTAAAACCTCTAAATGTGTGTGTTTTCAGACTAATGCTTCCATATGAGGAGCACTTGAGAGCCGGAGGTGGAGCAGAGTTTAAAATCCCCGATGTGCCGCTGCCTTCCAAACCCAGAGGAATACGAGGGCGGAAACCTCTGCCCAGAGGCAGAAAGCCCGGACCCAAACCCAAGGAGAGGAGGACGGGGACGTTATCACCTGCAGCTCCGCCTCCTGTGAGTCACACACTGAAGGGTTGATTCACCCAGTGTCAGGTTCTGCTGTCATTTTTATCCTATTTCTGTTCTTTTCAAAAGCTAAAAGCACAACTGATCAAATCAAAACTTTATTTGATTCTTATTAATTTTAACAACCGTTGTTAATTAGTAAGTACAGCAAGGTGTTGCTGCATTTCCATTACAAACGTGCTCAAAGCTTTTTTGATTTTCTGCTGATATGGGAAAAACTAATTTTCACAATAGTGTTGTTTCCATTAAATAAGAAACGCAATTAATATCAAAAGCATTAAAGGAAGCAGCATATACTGTTGATTTGAAAATATAAATACAGGAAAAGTGACTCAATTTCAGCAACTTAATTATAAAACCCTAGAGGAAATTATAAGTCAATTAAGCTCAAGTTCTTGCTGTCTTCACATCATATCCACACATTTCTTTAAGGAAGTCCTGCCTGTTATTTCTACTGATTTGATCCAAATAGTAAACTCATCGCTCTCATCAGGCGTTTTTCCCCAGGCTTTGAAAATAGCAGTAATTAAACCACTGATAAAAAAAGAACAATCTGGACAAATCACTACTGCAGAACTACAGGCCGATCTATAGTAATCCAGCATCATTCATCAGCAAAGTTATTGAAAAAACTGTGGTTGAACAGTTAAATAGCTTCCTAACAATAACCAACCGCTTTGACTCCTTCCAGTCTGGTTTTTGTGCTCACCACAGCTCTGAGACTGCCCTTGTAAAAGCGTTCAATAATATCCATATAAATACGGAATGTGGGAGAACCACAGTGCTGGTTCTGTTGGGCCTTTTGATACTGTCGACCATGGCATATTACTGTATAGACTGGAGAGTTGGGTCGGACTCTCCGGTCCAGTGCTTAACTGGTTTGAATCTTACATATAGAACAGGGATTTCTTTGTTTCAATTACTTCTCATCAAAGAGGTTGGAGATCACAATGGGAAACCCCAGGATTCAATCCCAGGACCCCTCTTATTGAATATTTATATGCTCCCACTAGCTCATGTCACCAGGTGACTCTGAACTCATCCAAGCACTGAACAGATGCTTAGAACAGATAAATGTGTAGATGTGCCAAAACTTTCTGCAGCTGAACAGGAACAAAACTGATGTTATTATTCAGTGTGAAGTTATTATTTTTGGACCTGTGCATTGATCTAGAGTCAATGCACAACTTCAGTTATTACAACTAAAAACTAGCGATCAGGCCTGAAACCTGGGAGTTGTGATGAACTCTGACCTGAACCTTCAGAGCCACATAAAGGCAGTTACAAAGTCACCTTCTATCACCTGAAGTTAGTCCTCTAATCCTGGAGAACATCTCCAGGATTAGAGGACTAACGTCTCAGTCAGATCGAGAGAAGCTCATCCATGGGCTTATCTTTAGTCACATTGATTACCGCAACACTGTCTTCACAGGCCTGTCCAACAAGTCAGTCCTCCAGCTGCAGCTGATCCAGAACTCTGCTACTCGCGTTCTCACTAAAACCAGGAAGATAGATCACATCACACCAGTTTTAAAGTCCCTGCACTGGCTCCTTGTAGCTCAAACAATAGTCTTTAAAATACTGTTGTTAGTTTACAAATCACTATAGTTTAGCACCACAATACATTAAAGATCTACTGTAGTTGTATCAACCTTCCAGACCTCTCAGAACCAAACGAGGATAAGCAGCTTTCAGCATCTATACGCCACAAATTTGGAACAAACTTCCAGAAAACTGTAAAACAGCTGAAACACTGACTTCCTTTAAATCTCAACTAAAAACACACCTGGTTAGAATTGTATTTGAAACGTAATATGTGACAATGTATTGTTTATTCTATGTTGCATGACTTTGTGTTTTTGTGTTTATGATTTAAAGCACTTTGAAATGCCGTGCTGCTGAAATGTGCTATACAAAAAAATTTGATTGATTGATTGATTTGAATAGGTTTTATTGATTAAAAGACATTTTTAAGTTGCTATATGAAAATCTACACAGTGTCAACAAGTTTTTCTGTAGGAAAATAGATAAAAGTTGTGTTGTCTGATTCTTGTTAAAAGTAGAGTGACTGAAACTGAAAATATTTCTCTCACGAAAGGTATTTGGTTTAATAACCACGCCCACTTCAGACAAACATGGCAAATTTTCAGAATCATTTTGAACAACTCTTCTGAATAGACAACATACTTTTTTCTTGGATTGTAATCATTTTACCACTCCTATTTGCTGAACTAATTTTTTAAACCCACCAGAGAACCGACTTTATCCTTTTCTCCTCTTGTCCTTGAGCAGATTCTGAGTCCAAATGGCGCCATAGTGGTGAAACGAGGAAGAGGCCGACCACCAGGAACTCGCAACAAATCCACGCTAATTGCTCAGGCCAAACTGATGGCTCAGCAGCAAGCAGCAACCAAAACAGCAGCAGCAGTGGTGGAGCTGAAGCAGCACAGTCTTCTGCTGCCCCCTGCAGGCAGAGGAGGACTGACACCCAGCAGCACACACCGGGTAAAAATCCTGATGCTACTCGCATTTCTGTTTCCTTTAGCAAAGCCAGACTTTATGATCCTTTAGGTGTTTTAAAGGTTTTGAAAGTGCGTAATATTCTAATTGGACAGTTTTATAAAAATGTTGCAATTTATCATTTGATTAAATGCCCAAATTTGGAGAATTTTTTTCCGCTGTCTGAAGTGAAATCAGATCAAAATTCTCTTATTTCAGGTCAATTAAAGTACCAAAATGATTTATTTTTACTAAATGCTAGAAAACAGAGAACTTTTTTATTTGTAACTTTCCTAGTGCATTTTTTATCTGTGGTGCAGATAGAATGTGAAAACGTACCTTGAAAATGCTTGGGTAAAGTTCCCAAACTCTGTAAGAAAAACTTTGAAAGATCAGTTTTATGTTGTAATTCATCTTTGTTTTCGTCCCTGCAGCCCATCCAGCCGGCCATTCTCCCGCTCAGCATGCCCCTGACCCCTGACCTCTCCCCCATGTCTCCTTCCTTCCTCCCCTTCAAAACGACGGAGCTGAAGTCTGAACGCGGCGACTCGGCGGCTCCTCCCCCTCCGAGCGTTCTCATCCCAGCCCTCCCTCACTTCGTCACCGGCTCGCTCAGCAGCTTCAGCCCCATCAAAGGTGTGTGCCCTCTGGATGTCTTCAGGAGCCAAATCAGCCTCCAGAGGGCCCCCGACAGCCCCGCCCTGACCCCTCAGGACCCGGCACAGCTCCACCCGGCCATCTTCACCCTCCAGCCCAAAGGAGGGAACCCGGACACGCCCCACCCCAGCTCGGAGCAGCTGCAGCCTCAGCTGCACCAGCTCCACCAGCATCACTGCTCTGGCTGCGGCTCAGACGACGGGGCTCAGCGCGGAGCCTCTAGGAGCCGGCCCCCACCTCCTCCACTCCGCGTCCTTCCTCTCAATCTGGACTGCAGTGTCCAGGTGAGGAAGGTGATGCGGGCTCACCTGGACTCATCTCAGCTGCAGACCTTCACCCGCCGACTATCAGAGGCACTGTCACAGGACCTGAACGCCAAGCCGCCCTGCTCTCCCATCACCCCGCCGCCGGAGCAGGCGCTGCCCCTCAATCTCAGCAAACGCTTACCACCCAAACGGCCCAGCGCCGAGGGCCCAGAGCAGAGTCCACAAGCTGTCAACAGAAACTCGGATCCGTCGTCCTCCAAGAGGCCACGCGGTGGCACCCAGGAGCAAGCGCAGGATTTCAGTGTCAGGGGCCGCTCCAGCTCCTTGGCGGTGTCCGGCATTCAGAGCGTGGAGGCGAGGGGCCAGGAGGAGCCAGCGGACCTGAGCTCCCCGAGCCGCATCAGGGCTTTTCTGCTCGGACTTCCACCCTTCCAGGTGAAACTGGAGGAAGACATGAATGGGACGAGGTTTGTGAAAATTCCTCCTCCAACCGAAACCAAAAGGACCGAAGTCGGAGATGGAGGCGCGAAGACGGAGGCAAAGAAGCAGGAGGAGCCGATGGGGAAGGAGCAACCGGAGCGAGATCCAACCTTATGTCCCGGTCCCGCAGAGCTGAAAGGAGCCGGCCCTTCCAACATGAACACACACTGTTTTTAGCGTTTATTTTCATAAATTTGGATCACCTCAAAGACTCGTCTGCGCCGGGTGTTTGCTTCTTTAATGACGTTTATTTTGCTACATTTCCGTTTTCTCTGGAGGAATGTCATCAAACAGAATCATGACAATCACAGATGAGTTTCCATTAAAACAAAAACGGGAGCTGATTTTCTTTTTGTTCTTGAACACTGCCATAACCCTGGGAAACACTATACACTCTCCTCTACGTTCCGATGAAACTGAAACGGATCCACAACAGAACAAGATATCATGTTTGGGTGATGGTATGCATCATGGCTCCTCCCACAGCATCCCTGGTCTCGTTCGTTTTTAAATTGTTCTCGACGTCCTTAGGGAGAGACTTATTTTCTGATAGTGTTTAAATGTAATCTAGGGCTCAAAATGAAAAGCTGTCTTCACAATGTATCCAGTGAAAGTGAAGCTTTTCAGTTCTGCTCGTTAGCTGATGTAAACGTACACAAACGTGCCTTAAAGGGCCAGTGACCCTTGCCATTCCGGGCTTCATCTGCATCCACTCAGATGGAGATACCTTGATGTTTCAACAATACAGCCATCGATCAGGTTCACCATCTTGTCGGCTTGCTCTCATCTTCGTCTCTGTTCAGATTCTTAGATCCCACATGTAGCTTCGACAGTCTAAACTACCTCAGGTTCTTCATTTCTCCACCTGCCCCCCCTTTTTTTAACCCTGTTTCAGAATTATAAAACTATCCCAACATGTTTGAGTTGAAAGCATGCTCGGAATGGTCCACAACATCTGTAGCTTCCTTCCTCATTAGGTAGAGACTGCTGCCAAACCAGTAAGTTTGAAATCAAAACAAATCTTGTATCTGCAGCTTCAAAGTGAGAAACTCCTGCTTCCATATTGGGATTCATGCGCTGTACTGATGCGTCTCAATAACTTAGAAAATCACCAAGGAGTTTGTTTTGATCCATAAATTCAGTTCAGAAAGTGTAACTCATGGTTGCGAAGATTTTCCTTGCACTAAATTTCCATTTAGATTCTTTGCTATAGCATTCTCTGGACAGACAAGTTTTTTAGCAATGACCTTTTCTTGCCTGCATAACATTTATGTACTTGAACATTATTGGTTTTCATTACCGGTAAGCTATAATTACCAAAAGCAGAAATAAATTCTTAAAATAAATCTCTTTCTGTAATGCACTCATGAAATTTCTGTAGTTTCACTTTATGGACTGAGTTCTTAACTTGAATTCTCAATTTAAATTTCTTTAGATGCACCTGTGATTCCAGGAATTTTATGTTGGTTAAAGCCTCTTGTCAGAGACGAGAAACTAAAATTGAATCTTCCATCAAAAAAAAATTCGCTTTTCTTGCTTTCAAACATCAAGGTATTTCTTTAACTCACTTTCCTGTTCGCTTTGACACCACTTATGCTGGTTCAGATTTGCACACCTACTGTATTCCTTTTGCTTTTTGTCATATTTAAGCCAGTTATAAGTTACTGTCTCTCATTTCTCAGCTTTTTTATTTGACGCAATCTAATAGGTGCTGTTTTTTCCGAGTTATGTAGCTCATGGCCACACTGTTTTTTGACCTGTTTCAAAGCTCAGAATGTTGTCTGAAAGTTTTTAATAGGTGGAAAAATTCACATTGATTTATCCACAAAGAAAATATTTTAAAGAAATATTTTAAAAGATGAAAAATGTGCTTATTAGTAATTATTTTTATCAGATTTGTTTGACTGTTGGTTCCATGTTCAGCAAAAATACTTGTGAGTGCATGAAGAAACAATGTGTATTCAGTATGCACCAAAGTGCTCCACCAGTTTCCTGTATAATTCTGTTATTGATAGTATTTTTACAATTTTACTTCATTCATTTGTTTTCCTTCTTCATTGTAAAATATTTTTGGGGCAAAAAAACCCACAAATGTCAAATATTCTTTATCACAGTAATGTTTTTCACAGCAGGGTAACTACTGTAACTACTGTCTGGCTCTGCTTCATCACATCAGTAAACCTGTATTTTTTAGTCCCAGAGAGCTTTAAAGGAATGTGTTTGTAGAACTAATGATGTGGACAGTGGTGCTCGCTAAAGAGTTTATCACATTTTAAAATGAAAGAATGATAAAAATCATATTGGTCCTCCACAAAGCTGCTGTTCAGAAGCTGCTAACAACTGACATGAAATGATGGTGTTAGCATTAGGAACAATGTCTGACTTACATTTTAAGCTGCTTGCCATATTTTCTGTATTTCATGAAAGTGTTGAGGGAACATATGAAGAAAGATTGCTACCCTACATTATGTAATTTAGTATGATGGTTAGCTGAACATGCTAATATAATAACGCATCAGATGAACGACTCGTCAGAGCTTAAAAGTAGCTGTTTGGGTCAATGTGTTTTTGGACCTTCTTAATTTTTGTATGTTATATATATATTCCCATTAACTAATAAAGGTTTTGTCAATTACTGATACAACAGCAATAATTTTGCCAGCTAGTCTCGTTGACAGCTTGAGTCATTTTTGCATTTTATTGAAATTTACTCAACATTATTAGCTTATGATTAATTCATGGGCACCAAACCTTCTTGGTTTTGCTGGACTGTTTTTTCAAAACAGTTTTATCACATTGCAGCGTGTTTCAAACTCGAGGCTCGTGGGCCAAGTCCAGCCTGCTGTTGCTGTTTCGGTTACCCACTAGACTCCAGAATAGAACTTCAAGAAAGCAGTTGTGTGATTAATGGTGTTAAAATAAGAATTTATGACTACTCATCTTACAACACTTCAAAGTTGCTGCTACTAGAATGGTGATAATTTTGTTAACTTAGCATGCTGACATTTAGAGTTTTCATTGTAGTTACTGTTCCAAAGATTCTATATTTAACAGTATATATATATATATATTTTATTTTAGACAGTAATTCCTATGAATCAATTGTCTTTTTTGACTTAGATTGGTTTATACCAAATTGTTTGTGCGCCAAGATGCTAACGGTGAACTTTTTCTTGAGTTGCAGTTGCTTTAAGAACACAAAACTTTTTTAAAAACTCGTTGCTTTGCTCAGGCAACACTTTTAAAAGCTCCTGTTTATCATTAGTGTAACGGTAGAGGGTTGATCTTACAGTTCAATTTGTGTAGAGCGCCTTTAATATGCATTTGCCAAACAAATGCATAACCTCAAACTGATTCTTATTCTAATAACCTCAACTTTTAAAATTGAGTTTCCAAACCTCTTCCTTTAAAGTTTGTCTGGGTCTGATCAGCCTTGTGGTTCCTCCCAGGTGAAACACAGCTCCACTGGACCAATTTAGAATCACCTGAACATTGACTTCAGTTCTTTTGCTTCTTTTTTTTGTTGATGTATTGAATAATAATGACATGCCACTCATTATTTTATTTTATTCTCTCTTTTTTTCAGCTTTTTAAACTAGTATAACTTTTTTTCTTTGTTTGGATATTTAAGCTTAGACTTGCTAGTTTTTTTTTTCTTTGATAGGTCTCACAATGTTTACAGTTTGTTATGCATGTTATACAGATTTCTTATGGTGTTTTGCACACTACTCAGTCTTGAACGGCACTGCTCATTCATGTAAAGTACTTATAAGTGCCTGATACTTAAATTTGGAGTTGATATTTGTAAGCGAAAGAAAGTTAAATTGGCTCATTAGCCTTCGTGCCATGGACTTGAACATGGGGTCCTATTGTAGGTGAGTTTTGTTAAAATTTATGGCCTTTGCGGGTTTTTGTAAATTCTCGTGTTGAGGATTTGATGAGAGAAGACCCATGACACCGAAATAACACTCGGCTCTGTGTGTTGGACTGAACCGGACCTACAAGATTTAAGAAAAGGGACGGCAAGTCGGTTGGACATTTATGATGATACATGATCAAAATAAAGGTGCTACATGTCACATTTTTACGTCTTTGAATTGTTGAATTAATTTAACTGTTCTGCAGCTTCCTAAGATGCCCTAAAAGCTTCTCAGTTTTCATATCTAAACATTTGCCTTATGTCCTCTTATGTATTTTATTGATTTATTTATGAAGAAAAGTTTATAGTTTCAAGGTTGGATGTAATTTTTTTTTTTTTATTCTGGTAATTTCCCTTAAAATTTGCCTTGTAATGACACAAAATATATCAAAAGGGTTTTGTAATACAAATAACCTTGTTTAAGCAAAAATAAAATGCTAGTTTGAAATACATTAAGCTTTAATGTAGGTAAATAAGCACAAATTGTTGAATACCAGTACATAACTGATTATCTGTGTGGAAAATTTGAACTTAGATTATTTTAATATTGAAAGATGCAAAATAGTTTGTCTGAAATTAATCAAAATTCAGTCTAAAATAAAGAAATGTGTTTGAAATATAAAATAATCTTCTCTCTCCACCGCCATAAGCTTTCAGGACTGTCTTGAATAGCAAACATCCCAAATGTCCATTTTATACAACTGTAACTTAAATCAACCAAATACAGATGGTGAAAAATGCTCCATGTGGCACCTTTACAAACTGGATGTTACACAACAGAAATGTCTGTCTGAGATCTCTTTTATAAGAATGAAAGAAGAAAAATATTTTATTTCCTGCTTCTATTTACACACAGATTGTCTGTAAAATAATACCGTCTGTATCCAGAGTGAGCTCTGCTGGACTGTTGCCTCCCAAGTTTTACCCAACACAATGGCGGTGTCCACAAGGCGCTGGACTGGAACCAGAAAATTCTTGCTTGATTAAGGATATGTTGTATTTTAATTGTTACTGATTTACAGCACATGGTCTGTTTTTGTTTTTCTCCATTTCATTTTTTTCCCCTCTGTTTTAATGGTAAAAGACTTTCAGTGTCAGGTACCATGCCATTTTAACACTGTATATTTATAATAAAAATAATCTGTTAATATTCTGAGTTCAATGTTTTATTTATTTATTTTTTTTAGAAATTAAAAATGTCTGGTAGAGCTCCATTTTGAAAGTTAGGAGATCAATTTTTTTTATTTTATTTAGAAAATAACATTTTCTAAAAGTATTCAGAATTAGTCATAACTTTAGTTTGCTCTGAAATGTATATCTTTAGAAATATTTTTAGCCATTTGTTTCATTTAAAACATTTTATATTGTTTTTTCAGTATAATGTAGGAGAATTCTTTTCTATTAGCCATCAAGCGATTTGTTTTTCCAATTTCTGATTGAAATCACAATTTAAGAAATAGCCATATTTAGTAAATTAGAATATTACTGGAAAACATTTATTTTAATAACTTGTATAAGTTCTATAAGTTATATAGATTTTTTCCTCATTGAAGGAGTTCTAAACCTTAATTTTGATGATTTTGTATTTAGTTAGTGAAGATGAGACATTGAGAATTTTACATCTGACCAATAAAGTATTATTGGTCAGAAGTTTAACATCTGATTTTGAGGTTGTTTTCAAAAATACTATTCATTTCTGGTTTCTTGAATATGACTGTACAGATGAGAAAGTCACATAGTGACTCAAAAAAAAAAACATTTGTTGGTTTATACCAAATTTGAGATTTAAACTTTTAACTATTGAACATATGCATTAACTTTGTGGTCCTTAAGATGTAAAACTTCTCAAATAATGCATGTTTTAGTGTTTTGTTTTTTTTTAACTTTTTTGTAACACCTTGTTTCAAAGTTCTGGCGCTGTTCTTGTGTTTCTACATTCTGAAAAGGCCAGAAAGTCTCTATAAAGTGTGATTCCCTGAAATACTCACTAGATGGAAACAAATCTTTGATGAAACATCTGGTTTGTTTAATTTGGTTTATTTTTGGGAGACTTTCAGATTTTATTATCCTAAAATAATAATAATCATTTCCTCCATCAATAAACATTTTAAGAGATACAACTCCAGTCTCCAATCATGTTTTATTTATTGTTCTTTTTGATTAACTTTGAGCCTTTTAAGTTTTGTCTTCAGTGGAATGTTGACATTTAATGAAATCATAGAAGTCGTAGATATTTTCTGAGATGTGAGCTCAGGAGGAACTGCACACATTCCTTCCCTGCAGGACTCATAAAGGCAGCGTTGGAAAAACATTCAAAGAGTAAACTTTGACACCGTGGAGGAAATGAACACATTCCTCACTCTGCAGCAGGAGCTTTGTTAGCAGCATCATGTTAAAGGTCGAGCTTAGGCTGCACATATTTTTTATTTATTTTTTTGGGGACTTTAAAGTTGCAGGTTTCAAACCTCACAACCTGGAGTCTGATTCCTGAAGGTGGGATCATAATATTTTTAACCAAATTTCATGACATTAAGTACATCTTAAAGGGGATCTATTATGCAGAATTGGCAGTTTTGTGGATTTTGACTGCATCTAAAATAAACAAACACCCATTTTATAGGTAAGTTATTATATATTCAGAAGATTCAAGAATCTTCTGAATATAATGTCAGAAATCAGCAGACAATACCTTCCATAGCAACCCTATGGAAGCCTATCCTGATTGGTCAGCTGGTTTCACTGCTGTGTGTTTTGTTGTTGACCATCCAGAAGCCACTTCCTACTTCATTCATTTGATTGAGATATGTTAGAGCAGAATCTCCATGAAGTTTGCTAGCAGAAGAAAGCTTGGAGGCTCTAATGTGTACACAGCTGTAAATGATAGAAAACCCAGTGGAGCAGAACCAGCAGACTATTGCAACCCAAATCATCACTGATTGGAAACTTCAAGCAATATGACTTCTTTCCACTCTTTCTCCAGATTGTGGACTTTGATTTTCAGATGAAATACAAACCTTTACTTTGGTCTGAACAGAGAACTTTGGGCCACTGAGCTACAATCCAGTTCTGGCTCTTCTCAGCCTTAGATGTTTGGAACTGAAAGGCACAGTAAGATGAACAATGTCTCACAGCTGCAGCTCATCACCCGACTGCATCTGCAGCTGCATTTCCTTTACAAATGTAAGTAAAACTTAGTAGTAATTGTTGATCAAGTCCAAATTCAGTATTGCAGTGTTTCCATTAAGCAAATATATTTTCATAATTCCAAATTGAACAATTATAAGATCAATGGAAATTTGTAGCTGCAGTCAATGCTTTGACTACACGCTTGACTCTGCTTCACTCCCTCCCATGGTGTTGAATATTTCTGTTCTGTGCACCTTTTTTCTGCCAAACATTTTTTTCTTCTTCCACTGAACTTTCATTATTTCTGTTCAGAAAAGCCTGTTTCTTTAACAGTTGACTTCTCAAACTTAGTCTTCTTGTAGGCCGTCTTCCTCCGTATTGGATATAGACCATAATATAACTGAATTAAATAACATTTCTCTATCAATCTTTTTTTTCTTGTATAGTTTGGAATTAACACAAAAAATGCTTCTTATCACTTTGAGTAGTCTACAAGAATAGATTTTAGAGAATTTTTTTGGGGGGTGTGGGAGAGAAAGTATGAAATCTTTAACAACATTAATGGGCTGTTGAGACAAAAAATCATGTTTTCCATCATTTTTAAATAGACATGCTACAACCTTGCTGTTTGAAACCCTTTACATTTCTTAATTATTAGGTTCAGGTTTATTCAAAGCCCAAAAGGTTATGTTACAGCAAGTAAAAAAGAGAGACACATACACTAGAAGATACAATCAGTTCAAAAACAAAATGAGGGATGACACAGAGTGCCAAAACATCAAATATCACACCAAGCAAGATGGTGGCAGTACAGTCTATTGCATCAACCAGCATTTACCACTAATATTAGTGTGCAGTTGAAACTGTCAGGTTTTCTTTTTTCCTGTGAGAGATTTGCAGGAATGAAATTTTAAAGCCCACAGATCAGATGGAGACATGATGCTTATCCCCACTTTGTTTCACTCCCACAGTTTTTATCTCCTAATCTGGTTTCACGTCCATCTTCACGCCCACTTCTGTTCTTGACTGGAAACATTAGAGCGTTATTTCACCTCATGGAGGGATAAACCTGCTTCACATTATCAGGCTTAAAACATGGGGATCTATTTTATCTGTTGAGACAACTGCAAGAGACGAGCTGGACAAAATGTTTAGAGACTAATTAAACTAAACCAGGTTAAATCGAAACAAAGAATATCTCTGAGTATAAAGCTTTTATGTGAGGATTTATCTAAGTCCTCAAAGAACATAGATGAACATATCAATATCATAAATATGATGAAGCTGCAGAAGTGAGCTTTAGGTTTGTCCAGCTGACTCCTTCCTGTCAATAAATCAATCTTCTCTCTGCTGAGGAGAACTGTGGATTTCTTTTGGAAGACCATTTTAAAACTAGGAGAAAAAGATACAATCTTAATATTTGTGAACAATTTAAAAAAGGCAGAATTTAAAGCAATAAAATCCAAAAGTTCTGTCAATGCAAGTTGACTGAAACTGATTAAAAAAAGATTATAGTTATGTTAATGTTGGATGACTTTTTTTTCTTTTTTAAAATTGACAGTGATGGTAATAATTCAGAATAAGCCACAATGCACAAAACACATAAATATATCAAACTGCCAACACGACAAAATTTGACTTAATCAATTGTAGATTTTTATGGTGTTTTAATGCATTGAAAATGAGGAAATTGGAATTTATTTTGTAATGGAGCATCAACTGCAGAACTAAACCCACCTGTTGATGTAAAAGCGTTATGACCAGACTTGTTTGTTTTTTGTTTGTTTTTTTCATAATTTTTTTTCTCCGAGGAGTTTTTGCGGCGCTAGTGGCTCGTATTTTTGACAATAGGCAGACAGGAAAGAGGACGAGGAGGGGGGGAAGACATGCGGCAAAGGTCACCGGGACCGGGAGTCGAATCCGCGACGTCCATGTCGAGGACTGATCTTGTTGCGTTTGACCATGTGCAAATTTATAAAAATATATTTGCTTTATATAAAGACGACAATTAAAAAAATTATGTATCAAAATTATTATATCTTGCAAAAGTGCAATGGACACTTTTTATTAATTGGTTGTTGTTTTTTTTGCATCACATGAGTCTCATGATCAAAAGCTGGTGTTTCCACTGGCAGAGACGACAAAGACAATGACAGGAAGCAGAAGGAGGATGACAGCGCCGCATGTCTTTAACGCCTCATCACATCAAGAAACTTATTCATATAATTTGTAAGTGCTTTTCTTATGTAATATAAACTCCGCAATTGCAAAATAGATTTTTCAACATTAGCAGAATATTGTCAAAGTTTTGTGCACTTTTATAATGGAAACTCAGCTAATGTCAAACAAAGATTTGAGACAAAGTGTAATAAAGAAAACATGAGAGAGCTGGCGATGTTCAGGTCGATGACAGCATTTCCCCAGCAACAGTCACTAGACTCCTTCATGTTGGCTGGCGATGTAGCAAGTGGGCAATCTCACTTTTTTATACATAATCACTCTGTGAAGAAGCTGTGAAAACATTATCCAGACTGCGAATCCAGGCTATTGGCTTCCAACTGAAATGCAAAATCTGGGAAAGGAAACATTTTCTTCATTTGCATCAGTGGCTGTGAACTCCCTGGTTAACCTAGTTGACATAACCATGGCACATGCTCTGTCCTCTTCTGCCACCTTTCAGTAGTCTCTTCCCTTAAATGAAAGGTTCCAGTTTTGTAATCCTGGAGAGAATGTGCTCTCCAAAACTACTGTGCTTGTTTTTTTTTTTACCCATTTACTTTCACATTCAGTTCTCTGCATAGCAAAACTGCTGACTTCATCCATTTTTGGTCATCAGTAATAGACGTACAGTCACAGGTCCATTGTCATTTATTTCCATCATATATTTTACATTGCCTAGTGAGAAAATTAGTCTTCATCCCAAATCCTGTTATCAATAATGGGTTTGCATAATTACAGAAAAATGTCTACAATATACAAGCTAATGAAGTTATTTGTCTGCTTGATGCTGACAAACAAAATGAT